TCTTGAACTGCAGAGGCTCGAGCTAAGGCCTTGGTCAGAAAATTAATTAGGGCTAAGGTTCAGCTGAGTATTAAATGAGATTTGAATATGGCATCAGGGGCTAGGGTAATTGATGTTGGGTAAGTAAAATATTGCAGTGGGTTGGTGAAATGGGCAGGTTTTGGGGGGTTTATGAATTGCGTGTATTTTGTTGTATTTGAGGGAATAAATTGTTTGGAATTTGAGCTGTTTGTGATTTGTTTTGAAAGATTTTTTTAAAATTTGATTGAGATGAAGAGAAATTTAAGAGTAATTTATTCATAGAACACTCAACTGCTTCGAATATTTAGTGATGAGTTAAAATTTTCACGGAAAATTTAAAAATTGGAGGATTAAATCTCCAGAATAGAGGATATTTCGGGTTTTTTTCGGATTTGTGTGGGGGATGGAAATATTTTGGCTGATTTGAGCAGCAGCAGCTGGCTGGAGAGGTGGCTGCTGGTTGCCGCATTCGTCATTTGTGACTGGCACATGGAGACAGCGCGAAGTGGATCAGCCAAACCAATTTGATCGAGCGCCAGATAAGCGTACTCGTTGCTCAATTTCTCGGCGACAAAATAGACCTGAAATTGGCAAAAAATTTAGGCCTGAAATTATGATTTGATAAGTGTAAAATGTGGCATGCTTCAAGCGATGTTTGCTTGTCAAAACTCTGGGTTAGTTTTCCAGTTAGCGCGAAAAATTTCGGCCAATTTAAGGTGACCTGAATTGTCTGAAATGTAATTTCAGGATGTGGTTCTAACCGAGGCGTAGTCCCCCTTGGGTAGCCGAACCCCGTCACAGACCCACTCATGAGGGTTACTATCGATTTCGTCGCTTTCGTACAGTTGTGTTCGATTCTCACTCGACGCTTGTTCATTGTAGATGGCGAGACGTGCGTTACGGAATGCTCTGAAAATGAGACTGTAAAATTTTGCCCAGACGCAAATCTTGGGAAATACAGTTTACCCGCGTGAGTTGAGCTTGTTTCCCGGGAAATGGCGGAAAAATTTGGGAATAATTGCTGCTTCGCGTTAGCAGCCCTATAATTTTTTTGCAAAAATATAGTGCTGCAAAATCACAACTCTAATAACAATAGCAGCTAAAAACCTGTAATAGCAGAATTCTAGGACGGCATCACGTGGCAAACTGAATTGCGACAACCAGAACACCTTAGAACCAGGTCCATGAACATACGCATAGCGACCAGCTGAAAACTCCAGCCAATTAGATTCAATTTTATTAGACTAATCAAAAAAAAATCAGCCAAAATCCCCAATTCTGACCTGAAATTGAATTCTGAAATTAAAATTTATCTCAAAAAATTATGGACCCTATGATATGACTGTAGATTAGTCGGTTAGCAAAGCACAAATTTCGACGGATCTAAAAATTGAGCAGTATTTGATAAAATAAGAACTTTTGGAGAAAGGGGAAAGGGGATGGCTTGAGCTCGGTTAGCTGAGCTTGACCTTTGACCTGTGATCTACGTCTTCATGGTTTAGCAAAAAACCAACCGAGTGGTTTTCGTATACCAGTATGGTAATTTCCAACCGCACTTGCGGAAAGGTGCCATCCTGTGCCTGGTGTCGAAGAAGGGGTTTCGTGAATGTTTCTACGCAAGCATTCTTCTACGACGGGATATGAGCCGTACTCGTCGAACGAGCACTGCACCGCCATGCAGCTACGTTTCGACGGGTCGATTAGGGCATCCTGATGGGGTTCTGAAGCGAAATTATTGATGTACTGTAGTTTTGTGGGGGCGATGAGTCGCTGACGGCAGTGTAGTTTTGTAAAGAAACTGTAGTGGGGATACTGTAGCTGGTGGGGATACTGTAGTTTGTGGGGATACTGTAGCTTGTGGGGATACTCTAGTTTCCAGTACTGTACTACAATGTATAATAGTTTCGGCGGAAACGATATCGTGTGGAATAAGTTGGTTTTTTTCATTTGGAACGAAAAAATTTCCTTTTTCAGGTCGGAACACAAAATTTTCATTCATCTGTTGCTTTGGACTAACCCAATCGGCAGTTGCGCACGGCTTTAGCCGTATAGCTGATATCATCCAGGACGCACAAGCCACCGGCCATACCGAAGGCTTGAAAGATGAAATTTCTCGCTTCAATGACCAGCTGAAAAAATTTTTCCCTCTGCAACAGAACCGACAAGACACGGCCAAACGGAACAGAAAATTCCAAAAGAAAAATCCGCTGGAGAGAAGCCTTAGGCACCTTGACTAGAGACCTCTGCTCAAGTTCTGGAACTCAAATTGAGTGAAAGGCTAGCTTCGATAGGAGAGCTTGACCTTTGACCTTGGTTTCATGCACCTCTAATGATGAATAACGAAGTTTCAGTGTGTAAAGATAGTACGGCTCAAATCCAGTTCTGACTGAGAGGACGGTCAGTCGGGGAGGCAAATCAAAGAGGAGCAGCTGCAGGTAGAGGGGGTGGTACCTCGAATTTGTGCAGAATCGATCCAGGGATCGTGATCAGGGCTGGACCAGGATCGCCGGTTGTCAACTCCGCGCTGCACCAGTCAAAACGTTTTCCGGCGCCGGGGCGACGAAAACACACGCGAACGCTTACACCAGGACTGGTCCAGTAGCGAAACCTGACGAGACCGTCACCTGAAATTGGAATTTTAAAAAATTATTTGTTTTTTCGAAATCGTTATGCTACCTAAAGATTTTTCATCCAAAGTTTATGAGCAGATCATTCACTCCGCCCACGCAAAAACTGACCTTCTTGG